ATGTTTTCTCCAATTGAGAGAAAAATCAGAACTCTATAATTTTACAGATAATTTTATATATGTCACTCGCTGTGGTTTTACCCTTCCAAGATTTTTTACATAAAAAGTTTTAGCATCTCCTGCGATCATTTCTTCTCTTTGCATGCACGAAATCTTTCTGCAAACATTAGACCTAAAACCTCACTCTGCAATCACAAATTTTCTAACAAAACAATAATACACAACAACAACAACAATAACAAGCTTTTATCCCACTAAATGGGGTCTAACAAAACAAGAAAATGAAAGCAAAATAAGATTGGAAGCTTTTTAGTGGTTTGAAACTCGAGATTTGGCTTGTTTGTGATCAGACAGTTGATGTGTTAATTGATCAAACATATGCACCAGAGCCAGCAGAGTACAGTCTTTCAACTTTTCTAGATAACTGCAATATGGGTGACGACGCAAACTTTGACTTCTTGACAAATCAAAGAGTATGGAGATTTGACAAAAGAGTTCATTCTTGTGCACTAGGTATGATCCACTTAACTTTTAGTTACCATCATACTACTTAAGATATCTTTCTCATATTTCAGCAACATATTACACATGCATTCACCACATTTTCTCCCATTCACTCTATCGGGCAACAATAATTACAATTTCCTAAACTATTAGTAATATATTTATCAGCTTCTAACATTATTAATATAGCTCCAACTTTATTATTATTATTTATTTATATTGTGTTGCCAAAGACTGGTATGATGGAGCAATATCTCAGCCCCAGCTGGTATTAGCAGATCTTATTGCAATATTCTTTCCCACTGGAAATTACACTCTGACATACTTCAGGAACATTGCTAAGGTTTGTTTCCTCCCCATTTCTTCCTCTAGCAATGAAATAAATTCCATGCCTGCTAAATATAAGTAATAAAATGTGAAACAATTTTTTTCTTTGAGCTCAGAATGAAGGTGTGATATCGGTAGCACCTGAGAGTTGCAACAGAAGCACCTCTACACCGTTGGATCCCATCATAGTTCAGTGTTGATGAAGATGCATTAATACCTTAATCGAGACTTATTATTATTATTATTATTTTCAATCCAGATCAGTGCAATCCAAGATTCAATTCTGCTCTCATCACTTCTTCCATTTGAATGAATTGCATTCTGTATTTGCAACTCTATTGAGAAGAATAAAAGGCAAATCTTCATAGATTGGTAGACACCATAAAATTTTTGTTCTTGAATTATTGACAAATAAAAATATCTGAGATAATGGTCCTTAAAATTTTGAATTATTTACAAGCTAATTCAAAATTTAACCTTGTCTTTATAGGAATGCAAGTGCACATCATGCTTGGCTTCCTGTCATTGTAAAAAAAAATATATCTGCTAAAAAAGTCAACATAATTTCAATATCTTAAAAATATATATATCATGAAATCTCTACATATATTGAGATTCTTCTTTAAATAACATATCATATAAACACCTATAGCAATAAGGAAATATATATTTCACGGGCAAAGCTCAATTATATATTTACAAAAATACCACGTTCAAATTCATCCAAAAAATTCAAAATAATAAGCATTCCTCGTTTTAATTTTTTAGGTGGGAGAACATCACTACTTTCAAAAGCAAATCATCTGCTAAAGAAGATGACATCAATATATTGAGAAATAAGTTTTAGCAAACTCATGCACGTTAAGATATTAGAATAAAGAGAAACATTTTTTAATTGCTTAAACATCAAATGCTACAAAATAATTTTGTGCAAACTGCAGGTTTCTCAGAAACCAAGCCTTGAATCCAATGGAATAAAATACCACGATTAATCAAAATGGCGACTTAGGCCTTAAGTGGGAAGCAGTCAAAGAAATAAAGATATACATTTTTAATTACTTAAAAAGGTTTTACATGTTAAAAAAATATCTTTCTTTAGCAGCCAGCGAGGCAACAACCAAGGGTGATGGCTGGCAATGGTTTGTGGCAGAGAACATGATCGTTAGTAGCTAGCAGTGGTGGTGGTGGCCAGCTAGCGGCCAAATGACAGTGATGGCAGCAATAATAACTTCTAAAAGCATTCAAAACATCAAAAAAATTATTTTGAGTATTAAAAAATAATTGATCTTTAAATAAACATTAAAAAAAAATAACTTTATCAAAAGAAAAAATAAAATAAGAAGAAAAGTGATCCTAATCAAGAAGCAGAACATAAAACCTTCATTTGATCAGAAAGCCATTGAAGGAACCTAGTCAAGAAGATAACTATCTTCCAAGTCAACATTCAACAAACTGAGAAATGGAAATATGTGACCCAGCTGAATGCTCTGCATTATTTCTGTTCCAAAAAGCTGTGCCGGACATTCCAAGTAATGAGCACTTCCAAGAATATCAAAAAATTATTGTAATCACTAAAGTTAAAGTAGCCCAATTTTAATGACAAACTTGACATATATCTGAACTAAAAGCAGTAATATTAAGCACATAATCTCCACACAAGTCAAATTCATTGTATTTCTTGAAATTCTCAATTTTCTCATCTAATTTTTTTGTTATCATGCTTTTCAACATTGGTTGTATCTGCAAAATTAACAACGGAATTATGCTCTACTACCTTCGCACAGGCTCAAACCATCAAGTCTATTCTCTCACATAAAGTAATAAACTCACAGCATCCATCTTGTTTTCCGCAAATCCTTCTCATATTGTTTTTTAGGGTATCCAAAAATAACCTGAACCAAAGCCCAACTAAAAAATCTAGGTTCGAGTTAACCCAATTAACTGTTGGACTAGATTCGGGAATAGAATCCTAATATATTAAATTTTTGGGTTGGGATGACCAGCAAACCCAAACATACCTAAATTAAACACAAATGACCATTATGCCTTATCTTAAATAGATAATTTAGATCAGTTAAAAGAGAGTCGGGTTCAAGCTTTATGGCATATAGGTTCGGGTCAGGTAAAACACAAACCTGGCTTTATAACTTGAATTGATACAACAAAATTTTTATCCATACTATTATGAAACACAGATGGGTTTGCCATCATTTCTTTTTAAGCATTTATATATACCAAATAATTCTTATTTATATGCATATCTACCACCTACAGTTTTATATTTACATGCATAGCACTCAAATCTTTACATAACATCAAAAATATCATTATTATGAACTTTTTATAAGTGAAACACAATTTCATGTGTATATTTATAACACCGAAGTGCTATAATTTACATATGAAAAGCTAGGTGTTAGATATGTAAACACATAAAAATCATGTGGTATGTATATTAAGTCCCTCCCCCACACCCACAAACATTTTTTGGTACGAGTCAATGAATATTAAATGTTATAAATTATATCACAACATCAAGTAAGAAAAACTTCAGTGTGCTGGAGCGGTACTGAAAGGAAAACATAAAACATTAGAATGTATGAAACATAAAAACATCTTAACCTGAGGCCTTTAATCAAATCAAAGAAGCTTGAGAACCTTTATCAAAAGATTATTTAGTGTGAAACATTTATGGGATCACCTGGACTTGTTCTCGAACAAAATCTTCAGTTTAGTGCCCACACATTTTCCTGCAAGGATCTGGACATAAAGTTTCGATACCTTGATGGGCAAATTTATCGGATTTCGAAAAATTCCTAATTGAGAAATCCTTGAAGCCTCTAAACACCTTATTTATAGATTTCAAATGAAATGGTTTTGAACTTAATTGCCACGCTCATGGTTTTTCAGAAATATACATCAAAAAGATTTCTTTTTTCCTTGCTACATAGAGACACACAAAGAGAATATGTAACTGTAATCTTGTGCTTGGATTTATAGGGAGTGGGAGAAATAAGCTGAATAAGCAAAGTTCAAAAGTCCCATTGCGATGGCTGAAGGTCTGCAAGCCACAAATAGTAAATAAGTGAATTTACGTTGTTATAAATAAGAAGCAAGTGCACAAAAAAGATGGAATACAGCGAAAAATATTAATGGCAGTCCACAAAGAAGGATTATTTGGAAGATATCGTATGAGAGAAAATAATAAGGGTGACGATCATAAACCAATGTCCAAATGAAAATATCCGGTAATGGGAAAGTTAAAAAAAACTGATACTCATTTGCATATATTCTTGACTGTTGAGAGTTACGTTTGCAGGTTTTCACAATAGGACCTTATCAACAAATTATTTCTATATACATAATCTACAAAAAAAGTACACTGCACTTGGATACCTGGATGACAAAAAATATGTCATGCAAAAGTCACAGGAAAAATTGATAAAAATTTCATAAGGCAATATTAACAGCACTATGTAACAGTTTTAATTATAATAAGAACAACTTACACTAAGAAATATTGACAAGTTTTGCACGATTAGTGCTCTTGTCTACCTCCACTTTCAGTCCAAGTCCTGAAATTTCTGGCGTGTTGACAGAATCTAGCAGCTGAAGTTCTGCCACATACTGCTGGTTTTCAAAATTTCCTTCGAGCAAATTCCTAGCCGTCAGCAGCCCCCATTCTCTCAGAAAAGGATTTTCATCATCAAGAACACATTGTTGTAATAGCAAAGGTATTGCATTCCTCATCCTGATCTTATCCTGAACTTCCTTCCTTCTGTGCAAGCAATTACCTATCACTGAAACCAAATCTCTCCTAAACCCTCTGTAAGGGCACATCTTCTTACCCTCTGTAACAACTGATCTTCTTACAATCGAGGGCGGTTCCAGTTCTTCGAGAGAAATTAAGACAACTTCCATGAGACCAGCTGACAGCAATGATTCTACCGGGGCTTCTAAAGCTGCCAAAGAATGATCCTCCCAGGCACAAGAATCCCTCAAAATCATGAGAGAATAACCAAGCACGTCAATTGTGGGGAAACCTGTGGGAAGAGCAGAGGTTCCTCTTGAAAAGAAATCTGTAACATTAGTGGCTTCCTTGAAAATTTTTAGAATGCTAAGAGCAAAATCATTGGACATGCTGATGTCTCCAGGCCTTTCGCTAAGGCATTTTGATAAAAGTTTGAGAAGAAATGCTTGAGTGGACGAAAATAAGGTATACTTTTTATCAGCTCGGCCATAATCATCGGAAGTGGGGCCTATCTTTTCAAATAGATGTAAAAAGTATGGCTCCTCAATACATATTTTAGTAAGGAGCCATTCTAGCCACTCTTCCTCATAACCACCTGCAGCATGAAACACATTGCACAAAAGGAAAAAATTATGAAACGAACTGCACTAGAAAGGCTTGTTTCTTGCAGATAAATTAATGAAGATGAAAAGAATTAAAAACCAGGTATTCCAACAGAATTATGAGAAAAAAAATTCAATTAAGTAAGCAGATTCTTCAATAAATTCCATGTCAAAAGGGTGAAGGTAAAAAATAAAAAAGAAATCACCATACAAATCAAATGGTGTCTATCCGAAACATTTTTGGACCTAAACATTCCCGCATTGTTGGTATATGTTCAAATGTAAGACTATTCACCACGAATATATTTCATTGTGTTATTCCCACCATCACTATAATATTATCATTATTTACAACATTCATTATAGTTAACTGAACAAACATTCAAATGTTCTCATTTATATCACTACACTTGATAGCAACTTCTTTATTGTTCCAATATTTGAATCCGAACGGCATAGATTGTCCATATTTAAGTCTCAGTGATTGACTATTGAGGCATATCTCCATGTCAATCACTCTTAACTTAGAAATTATCATCATTTATACCCATTCTTCTGAATAATAGAACCAAATACTTGAACCTGTCATATTTAGATGTCACGTGATTTCAACAAATATTTACTGAATATAACATCAAGCGAAGCAACATTTGTTGAACTCATTATAATACAAGTTTTTTTATGTTCAGATAAATTAAACATGTCTAAAACAGCATAATTCTTCTTTGATGTAATAAGTAGCAGATGTTATATTCGGTTAAGAGCAAACATGAGCAACAGTGACTTCATTTACCTTGCTGGAAGTGAATGATGGGGCATAGATCTCAAAATTCAGGAAAAAATATACATGTAATTATGGATAAAAAAACAATAGACTTTGGCCGCTTTTCATTTCGCTTTCTGTGTCATTTCATAGGGCAGTCATGACAGACGAAAGCTTAAACAAGCTGTTCTCTTCAAAAATTTATAATCAAACTACTAAGTTTCAAAAAAGCTAAAATCAAAGTTGTTAAGAATGCTTAGAGAGCATGATCAACTTGAACAAGTCGAAATTTAAAAAACAAGAAAGAAAAAGGAGAAGCATCCTTCAATTTTAGAATATTTTATCCAACACAAGGGGAATATGCAGTTTTACTACTACGCACAAATGCCTGAAACAAATTTACTAAAAATAGATGACTTCTACTGAAACTTAAAAAATAGAATAATTTAATGCTGGCAAGAAAATGCTGAGATTTACAAATTTCATAGAAAGCTGAAGCAACACAAACAAAACTATTATAGTTAAGGCCTCAGGTCTAAGAAAGCACACCAGTGAAAGCCGCCGTGACGCATTCCTTTCTCATCATCGCAAAGCTCTTCAAGCCTTCGGCGCCCACCATCTGACGAGCAACAGGTGTCTAACACCATACATAGGGCATCGCAAACCTCCGATTCCCTAAACTCTGCAATCTCCAAGAACCGCACCGGAAAGAAGGCAGCCCACACAGCCGCACGATGTTCCTCCCCTGCCAATGCGACGTTCCCTAGAAGCTGCAACCCGACCCGACGGATCTCCGACGTTGCAATGGACAAGCCGAGGATGGCCTGCACGACGACCGAGCCACCGTTGTTAAGGAAGGCGTTCTGGTTGTCGGTCTCACCGGCGCAGAGGTTTCTAAGAATTCTGAAGATGAGTAAGGTGTCATCAGGAAGAGTATTACATAGACGGTTGAGGAGAGTAACAAGGGTTCCGGCGGTGGCAAGGTGAGAACGGCCCTCTGGTCTTTTCGATGCTTCGAGGAGCTTCTCTAGGGTTTCTTCACTTTCTGCTGCTTGCACCATGGTGCAAGGAACGAGAAGAGACATGGAATTCGTGGCCGGTTTTGAAGCAGGATTCAAACAGGCTTTATGTTAAATCCTGACCAACGGCAAAAAAAGCTTTCGTAAATCCTACAGGTTCTGAATTCCCGTTTTTACTCCGTTTGGCCTTAAATCCGGGATTGGTAAATCCCGCTGGAGAACGGAGTTAAGGGATTTAGAGAGGCTGGGGGAAGAGAGAGAGAGAGATTAAGGGTTATTTTCCTCAATGATTTCTGGTAGCATCGGAGCAGAAGGAATAGGTTGAACTCAAAACTGTCTTGCTAAAAGAATATTTAAGTCTGGAGGCCTATCTCTACTGTATCACGGTCATCCCCTAGATACAGCTACACGTCCGAGCGACGAACTTAATAATTTTTCCAAAGAATATATCGTGGAAGCTGAGAGAGAAAATGAGAATGAGAAGAGAGAATCAGATGCAGAGTTGTCCTGCGGGGGCAAAAGGGGTGTTCTCTATTTCTTTTGCCATTTTTATTCTACACAACTTGAAAGTTACAAGTGACAATAAGAAAAGAATTCCTTTTTACAAGGGGGTGAGAGAGAGAGAGAAATAGAGCCTAGGACTCCTTTTTACATGTAAGGGTCATCTATTTATAAAGAGATAAAGAAGGGAGAAGAATATAATATTTATGCCCCTGTTTTAAGGGGATATGTGAAGGGTATTGGGGTCCTTTCTCTGGTTAGATCTATCTCCCTGTATCGTTTTTGTCGCAACATTCATCGGCATAAGGTGGCCAGCCCAAGCAGTCAGCCCTCAGTGGTCGGCCCCTGGTGTTCTGCCCATGTACAGTCGGCCTGCGATGGTTAGCCTTCAGTGGTCGCCCTTGGTGGCTAGCTGGCTGGATATTGCGGGCTGACTGGGTTTGGCTAGCCATGGTGCCTGGTGTAGGTTCCAGTGATGGCTATGGTAGCCACTTTCCTTTAGCTTGGCAAGGGCCTGTTTTTTGCTATGCTTAAAGCCAACAAGTTTTTTTATTTCTTAGAGGCGAAACTGCAATAAGAATGAAAAACTCATAAGTACATAAAATATTATTTCATAAATCTCTGATTTGACTAGTTTCATGAGTCTTTTAGTTGGTCTTTAATGAGTATATTTTTTATAATATTATCTCCTTGCTTGTCCCTGAAGAGAGACTTTGATCTCTCGTTCTAGAGGAGAGGCTTTGTTTGCTCATCCTACAGAAGAGTCTTTGTTTGCTCGTCCTGAATGAGAGGTTTTGTTCACTCGTACCGGAGGGGAAGCTTTGTTCGCTCGTCCTGAATGAGAGTAAATGTTCGCTCGTCCCAGAGGAGAGGCTTTATTTTCTTGTCCGGGATGAGAGTTTTTATTTCCTAGTCCTAAAGGAGAGTCTTTATTGGCTCATCTTGATTGAGAGATTTTGTTTGCTCATCCTAGATGAGAGTCTTTATTCGCTCATTGTCGGTCAGAATTTTAGTTGGTGGCTTTTGAAAATAATTTAAATTGACTGGGATTTTTGGAAAATATGGATTTAAATTTGAATGTGTGTGTGTGTGTGTGTGTGTGTGTAATTTTGATTTAAAAAAATAGTATTTTAATTTTGAAAAATGTGACTGAATAGATCTCATATATTTAATAGTTTAGTAACCGAGCATAAAACTACAAGTGATACATTACCTAGAAAGGTAAATATTTCACTTGACGACGGGCTTGATTATATAAACTAAATAATTTATGACATTTGTCTGATCTGCGAGTCTTTTATATGACTGATAAGTTCTACTACTTAATATAGAGATTAAATATAGTTTATTTTACTTTTCTTAACTTAATATAGAGATTAAATATAGTTTATTTTACTTGTGTTCTTGATTATCTATAGAGGCAAGCCCATATAATTAATTACATCTTAAATGGTCGAAGTCACTTAAGAAAACTCTCAATTAATATCAGTGATTTTGTCTTCAAGATTTAGAAGTTTAGGTTTTCAATGTTGGACACAGAAAAGTCAAATGATAATGGCTCAAGTAAAAAAATTTATTTTTTAGAATCCAATGGGGTGAAAGGTATGAAATGTCACAAATCCGAGGAAAACCCTGGTGACATCTTGAACTATCATATTGTTCGGTTTTATGTTTTAAAATGATATTTATTTGATGTTTACTCCTACCAAATATTAAAATTAGGGCTTGCATTTGCATGATATCTGCTTATGCAAATAGCCTAGAGTGGAGGGTTTACTTCTCGTCAGGCAGACAACCTCGGAATCCTATAAGGTTATGACTTATGTTGCATAGCATGATTGTGCAAAAGCCAAAATATAATGTTAGAATTTATTTTACATTAGGCAAACCACCTCGAAGTCTTATGGATTTGTTGTTGTTTAAACTAAGGGAATGTTTACTTGATGTAGATCCGCCTCGTTGTTAAGCCTTGATCGTCGTCCTTCGTCCGCTTGCTTCCTCGTTCAAAGCTCATCGTTGTGATGACTCCATGTTTAGGGTTTATTTGTGAGCATGCAATTAATGTTGAGTCTTGTGGTCTGTCGTGGGGTTCCACCTAACATAGTCCTGATATTGTATACCCTAGGGGTTTTTGCAAGTACATTAAGTTAAACATGCTGATGTGGTAAAAGGGAAGTGCAATAAAAAAAGAAAGTAGTCGTGCATACCTGCTGCTCCTACTGTTGTTGTATGGTTAGTATTACATGTAAATAATATAAATATGATAACAAGCTAAAGAAAACCAGAAGATATTAGTACATGTGTAAAAAGCCAGGTGGCACATATATGGATAATCAGAGCATGGGGCATAAGAGTTTTAGTAAAGGGGGAGCTCAGAATCAAAACTAATGCCCTAGCAATTCTTCCCAAAGGAACTCCATAGGCATATTGGTAACCATTATGTCTGCGAGATCCAACATATGGTAAAAGACTACTCATAAAGTACCCAAAAGAGGGTAACTGACTGGCGTATGATCTGACATTTAAAAGTCTTTAATTTAACAAGCACAATGATATTTTCTTAAATCTTTCATTTTGTCATACAAAATATAAATTTTCATTCGGAAAATTAGTTATATTATTTTTATGTATTTTGTAAATTAGATGGTTCACAAGTCAGTCACACTACTGAGCTAGAGCTACCAGCAACCCGTGAGAGCAAAAAGGTAACCCTTTACTAAATGTTAGAGAGCAATGATGCCAATCCTTCGCCCTTGAGTTCAGGATATGCACCACTTTACACATACCTAAATGAGGTTCTCCATCATCACTCATACCTACCTAAACCTCCGTCTTATAGCCCCGCTCAATGCTCCATATATAACCACATAGGGAAGAGAGATTGTTCACCAACACGAAGTTTGATGTTATTCGGTTTCGTCCACTTTAAAGTGACACTTGCAATCATCCAACACCTCGGCCATGAATCTAATAAATTTGGATTTATAAGATTTACTAACTTCTATTTAAACTAAATTATACTTGTAACCAAATAACGTTAAAGGAGGAATTACAACACTTTCAAGGGGGGAAAAACACCTTCAAAGAAGGTGAATTACGGGATTAAGCGAACTTGAAGCAGACCAAGGGGTGGGAAGGAGAGAGAGAGACAAGGATTAGTAGGGTAGGAGCGGAGTGGAAAGGGAAGACTTACCCAAGTTTAATGGTATCAAAAAAACTCGTTGTTCGTAAATAATTTATGTTCAACTCGTTAAGTAGCTCATGTTCGAATAGTTTGTTAAGTAAACTTAACACAAACAATTTTCTTAAGCTCGAACTATAAATGAGCCGAATATGAATAACCCTTTGGTTGATCGTGTTCAGCTCATTTTAGCTCAAAATAAAAAATATATATATATGTTTTATTCATATAATAATATAATGTATATATTTATACATAAAGTTAAATCATTATAGCTCATGTTTTTGATGGTTTTGTGCCTTTTATTGCAAAAGAAGGGGTGGAAGTTTGAAAGTTGCATCGTACAAGTTTTCAATAATTAATTTATTGATTGGCGCATCAAGCCTCACGAGCCAATTCAAATAAAAAGTTCAACATCGAACCAAACAACAATAATTTTTTTTATGAGCCTAATTAAAATACGAGTCAATTTTGAACAAGAATAAACATTAGCTCACACAAACTGGGCTTTTGTGCACCCCTAATGACGTCATAAAAATTGCTCTCCTTTTCATAGAATTTTTATTAACTGTTTTTAAAAACGGGCTAACTGAAACATTTTATAACTATATTATATTTTTATCCTTTTTTACCATAAATTGGCATGAAATTAATATATTTTAATTTAATAATACAATTATTTTTTTCATATGATAGAAAAAAAAAAACTTCTATTTTAATATAAAACTGTATGAAAATCAGACAAATAAAGTGATATACAATGAAATTACAAAAGAAAGAGTGATATGAGCGTCCATATAATAGAAAATCGTACTAGTTCTTTTGTTTTTTGAAGAGTTTCAGTTTAAGATAATGTTGTTATCCAAAAACATATTTTTGTGATTTTTCAGCAGCAGCTGCGCTGCCTAGCAGCTGCGCTGCCTTAGGAAGCTATTAGGGAGCTACTGCGGGGAAACTGACTGTCTGTTTGGTACAACTGTGTTTCCTTGAGAGCACAATCACACTCTCTTTCTGTTGAGTGAAGATCAATCCTTAAATTTATATTTTATTTGATACAATAGCGTATCCCGGCATCCTCCTCAAAGAGATTTTTCGTCGTTTTAGAGTGGAGATGATGATGTCCACCGTGCAACTTAAGCCTTAACTAACTTATGAAATTCACAAATTACATCAAACACTTCAGCTAAATTCACCTATTTGCATTGGTGCAATTTGCGATTTCTTCATTGCTTGTGAAAAGAGGGACAAAACAATTTTTCTGGGATTTGCTAAATCAAGTAGAAAGTCCGACTCATAAGTTGAAACTCGGGTGAAGGAGAAATTATTGCATACGGACACAGCATGCATCTCTATATGCGGTGTCCGATCCTGACCGTAGATCACGGTGATCTACGGTCAATATATATTTCAGTTAAAAAAAAAAATTAGGTGGGGCCCACCGAAATACATCCTAACCGTAGATCACCTGATTTACGGTCAGAATCAGACACCACATGCAAGATGCATGCGGTGCCGTCCGTATGGAATAATTTTTCCGTGTGAAGAGAGAGATTTATAAATCCTATTAAAATTGTCAAACAATTTTTCCAAATTTATTAAAGTTTACTTATTTTCAAAATTTAACCCTTCAAGATTTCAAATATCCGAATTTATTGGATTTATTACATACCATTCAAATTATAAATCCCGACCAAACAGCCCCCAAAATTTAGTTTCGTCAGTTCGGTAAAGGCCATCTCCCCGCGAAGGGCCAATATGCCGCACAGCGTTCTGCTATTTTTATCCTTGTCACTGTTAAAGGATTGCCGGCGACGCCAATAAGCAAAGAGCTGTCCTCAAAAAGTAATTTTAATTTATCAACAGTAACTGTATGAAGCATTATTCCTCACTGCAACATTTAAAGAGGCATTTCAAACCATGATGCCGCAACAAACGAAGCCTGCTTTCATCGCTAAAAAATAAAACGGAAATTTACAAACATGGCACCTAATTCTTAAGCATTTGCATTTCTGACACCCAAACTTTAATTTTTATTTCTTAAGTGTCTTTTCTTATGTATTAAAAGATGGATTACAGAAATTGGTCTTTTCATACAATATACATAGAAAATGATGTTATAATTGTAAAAATCAGAATTTAGGTGTGAGATATGTATATACATAAAGAACCTTGACGTTGCTACACCAAGAAAATGGTTCTTTTCGGAATAATTTATCAAAAAAATTTGGGTGGTAGATAAGTAATAATAAAATTTTATAATTAGATAAGTAAAATAATACATTTGGGATGCTATAAATGTAAATCCCCAATAAAAAAAAAAAGGCGTCCATAACCGATTGGCCTGTCAAAGTCCAGCTTATATCAGCAAGTCTCCTCAATTCATGGAATTAACACCAAACTCTTCCCTTTCCACCCTGTCTCCCTAATTTCCCCCCTCCCTTCCCATTTCTTTCTCCCGGCTCGCCTCCACTCTATATCTCCATTTTTCATGCCCACAGATTTCTTTCTAGGGGCGGTCCGGCCCAAAAATGATCGCCGCACATGTTGCCAAATTCCTCATATAACCCCGCCGCCGGCCGCCCCCCTCCCTCTTTCATGGCCCGCCATGCTTCTCCTCACTCCTCCATCTCCGGCAACACCGAATCATCCACCTCCACATCCTCTGGCAACAGCGAAATCGATTGGCCTTTCGGTGCCCGCCTTGGCACCCTCCGCCGCTCCGAGCTCCGTGAAACCGCTTACGAGATTTTTTTCATGTCCTGCCGCTCCTCCACTGGATTCAGAAACAGGGGAGCCACAGCCTACGTCGGAAGCCGTGGCGATGTGGTGGAGTTCCCATCCTCTCTGCAGCAGCCGGCGATAGTTGGCCCCAAGGGCGGCACCGGAATGATGGTGGTGACGAGCAAGGTAAAGAACGTGCTCGGGCTCAAGGCGCGAAGGGCGCCTCCAATGCTTACAATGAACGCCGTGGCGCTGAGATCGGTGGCAAATTTATACGCTGCCATACCGAACTCACCGGGAAGAAACGCGGTGCCGAGCTCTCCCGGAAGGATCAAGAGACCGATGACTTCTGCCGAGATAATGCGGCGGCAGATGCGCGTCACGGACCAGAGCGATAGCAGGCTTAGGAAAATTTTGATGAGAAGCTTCGTCGGCCAGAATGGTAGGAGAGCAGAGACCATCATTCTGCCGCTTGAGCTCCTCCGCCACCTAAAACCATCGGAATTCAACGACAGTCAAGAGTACCATCAATGGCAGCGGCGACAGCTAAAGATCCTCGAAGTCGGCCTTCTTCTCCACCCATCCCTTCCCCTTGATCGCCTCAATGCCGCCGCTCTCCTATTCCGGCAAGTTCTATTGGATAGTGAGGTAAAGCCCATCGACACGAGCAAAAACTCAGAAGACATGCGCAACCTTAGCAGCGCCGTGACAGCTCTTGCCTGGCGCAGTTCCACCGCATCCAACAACGGAAACTGTCATTGGGCCGATGGCTTCCCCGTTAACGTCCACCTCTACCTCGCCCTCCTTAAATCCATCTTTGACTTGCGAGAAGAAACCGTCGTCCTCGATGAGGTCGATGAAATTCTGGAGCTACTTAAGAAAACCTGGCCTACTTTAGGAATCAACCGAGTGATCCATAATGTCTGCTTCACCTGGGTTTTATTCCACCAGTACGTCGTCACCGCGCAGATTGAGCCGGACTTAATCAAGGCGACGTTAAAAATGCTATTCGAAGTGGCGAACGACGTGAAACAAGGAGTAGATCGAGATCCGAATTACATCAAGGTTCTCTCGGGCGTTCTGGTTTCGATGCAGGGGTGGACGGAGAAAAGGTTACTGGACTACCATGAGAATTTTAACAAGGGAACGCTTGAAAACATGGAGAAAATTCTTTCGCTGGCCCTCTCAACAACAAAAATCATCGTTGAAGATCTTCCCGGGATGGCAGGTAGCACGCCGGGGCTTGTAGAGAGAGAAACCGCTGCAGGCCCAATTTCCAGCCGGGTTGCATTCTACATACAAAGATCTCTGCGCAATGCTTTTACTAAGGTGTTTGAGACGGGGCATGGGCGCGTCGATAGCATGATCGTGGAGGTGGATGAGGATCCTAGCGATATCTTGATCCAGTTGGCTAAGGACACGGAGGGGATCGCCGCTGCCGAGAGAGAGAAGTTCAGTCCAGTGCTGCGAAAATGGTGCCCTGCGGCGGCCGGAGTAGCTCTGGTAACGCTGCATAATTGCTTCGGAGTTATACTGAAGCAGTACCTTGCCAAGGCGAATAGCCTCACCAACAACCTCGTGCGCGTTCTCCATTGCGCCAGCAGCCTTGAAAAGCTGCTAATGCAGATGGTTGCTGACGACGCCGGCGCTAACGAGGATGGAAACAAGAATTATAGCCTTCTGAGAGAGATGGTTCCATACGAGGTCGACACCATTGCCGTTGGTCTCATGAAAACTTGGGTAGATGAGAGGCTTCGAATTGGAAGGGAAAATGTTAGAAGAGCCAAAGAAACAGAAGTGAGTTGGCTTGATTGTTGAATTGAGAAGAGCATTTAGGGTTTTGTTAACTGATTTTGAACTGAAAATTATGTAATAATAGAACTGGATGCCGAAATCCAAGAGCGAGCCATTCACGCAATCGGCTGTAGATCTGATAAAATTGGCCAAGGTGACGGTCGATGAGTTCTTCCAGATTCCATTGGTGGCAAGAGATGAAATGGTGCACGATTTGGCCGAGGGACTTGAATCCATCTTTCAGGAATATACTAATTTTGTGGCGTCATGCGGTGAGTGTTGTTTCTTACGGTTTTCCGTGTTTAGGTTTCTTCAATTCTTTTGATTCCAATTTCGTCGGCAGGTAATCGGCAGAGCTACATGCCATCGTTGCCGCCATTGACGCGATGTAATCAGGACTCGAGATTGACGAAGTTGTGGAAGAAGGCGAAGCCATGTACAACTGGTATGGAGAATCAACAGGTCGTGGTCGGCGGTGGAGGCTTGGTTGCCGGAACTCCTGCGGGAGAAACCCACCATCCACGGGCGTCGACAAGCCGAACCCACCATCCACGGTCGTCGACAAGCCGAGGAACGCAGCGGCTGTATATCCGAATAAACACTCTCCATTACCTCCATTCTCACATCCACTCCCTCGACAAGTCTCTCACCTTCTTCTCCCGCGGTGGAGCCGGCTCTGTCTCCGCCCTCCCAGGCCCTTCCCCCACACTCCGCTACCACCAGCAACAGCTTCAAGCCAATCGCCGACTAACCCCCGCCACTCACTTCGATCTCATCCGCGCCTCGATTCAGGTCGCCATCCAACGCGTTTCCGAGGTCGCCGCCTATCGTCTCATCTTCCTCGACACCGGCCATTCCTTTTATGGTAGCCTCTACGTTGACGACGTGAGCGAATCAAGAATCCGACCCACATTGAGGATTCTAAAGCAGAACCTTAATCTCCTGCTAACAGTGCTCACCGACAGAGCGCAGCCGACCGCGATGAAGGAGGTGATGAGGGCGACATTCGAAGCGTTCTTGCTGGTGCTCCTAGCCGGAGGAACGGAAAGAGCTTTCGTCCGAACAGATTATGAGATGGTGATGGAAGATTTCCGCAACTTGAAGAGAGTTTTCTGCGCCTCCGGGGAGGGTTTAGTGTCGGAAGAAGTGGTGGATAAGGAGGCGAGGGTGGTGGAAGGGATCATCGGACTCATGGGTTTGCCGACGGAGAAGATCATTGAAGATTTCACTAATGCCGCCTATGCATCGAGCGGGTCGAGTAGTCCTGCAGAAGGGCGGAAGCTTCGCATGCCGCCGACCACCGGAAGGTGGAGCCGATCAGATCCTAATACCGTCCTGCGAGTCCTCTGTCATCGAAACGATGACGCTGCTAATAATTTCTTGAAGAAGGCTTTTCAACTGCCCAAGAGAAGATAATGCTATTTTTTTTTTTTTTTCAATTTGTTTCATTATTTTGATCGAAGCGATTTTTACTTTTTTTATAAAATAATAATCTAACAAAATCGTTGAAGGGTTTTTTGATAATGAAGAGAACAAATAAGATTTCTTACCCGGATGTAGAGAAAGGGAAGAAGAGAGCTGCATAGAAGCTGTCATGTGAGCTTAGAAAATATTATTGTCGAAATATTTAATTTAAATTATATAATTTATATTTTTTTTTTTTTTTTTTTTTTTTTTTTTTTGTTAAGAGTTATAATAGAAAATAATTTATTCTTAGTTATGATGAATAAATTCTTTTCTTGATATAAGTAGATGTTTTGTTTTCATATATTAGGAATTATTTATTTTCCTAATTTATATTTTTTTCTATTATCTCTTAATAATTAATATGAAATAATTTTTGGAGTTATCATGTGATATATATTTTCTTTCATGTCATTTCTTTTTTATTTTTCATATTGTAGGATTCTTATAAGGGTTATTTATACCCCCTTTCTTATCAATGAAAGTGATTTCAAAGTATTCCACTTTATTCCGCATTATTCTAAAATTTCAACAATTATGTCCGGACAAACTGTCATATATTGTTTGTGTTCGTTGTCCGGACTCAATTCTACGTCCAAATTTTTTTTTTTCATGTGAGATACCTCTCGTTCCTTTATTATCATGTCATCTAAATTGTAATCAAATCTAATTGTATTACATTCTGATTTGAGATATATTTTAGATGAAAGGAAAAATACTAGGCCAAAAGATCTCTTTATTAATATTCTTTCAATGTTAGTAGATCGAAATCAACAATATAATTATACTTTTTAATGTTGTGTAATTATACTCATTTGCTCTATGATTTTGCATGAGTGCTTTCTAAGATTAATCTTTGTCTGGTTGCACTCCTGAGATTTAGATCTACATTAATTTTAAGCTCAAAATTTTGAACATGCAGGTGATAAAATGCGCAGAAGGATTCAATTTGACCTCGACTCATTTCATTCAAATCCTGTGGATCCAACAAACCACATCTATTGCACATTTTGATATCTATCATTCAAAGAATCAAAATGGTGTCTTAAGTATTACATCTCGACGTTAGTTAATCAAACATATTTTTTTGGCAAACACTGTTGGAAAATTTACACACTTAATACACAAATTTTATGTATGTAAATTTCTAGTTCGTAAAATTTGATATTTATGAAATTGAAAAGTTTGCATGAAAAAATTTCATTCCACCTATTAAAATTTTGTAATATGGATATTTGATATTCCTGTGTTCTAGGAGATTTGTGACGTTAGAGTGATGAATTGTCGTCTTAGCGTTGCACTAGAATCTAACACATACTCAAATAATAAAACTGACAATTAGATACATTGATAGTTCTTTTATGTGGAATGCACGAAAGGGGTAGCCCAATTGAAATGATCTAATAAGAGTTGACGAGTACACGTAGAAGTCATTATTCCACAGGCGGGAGAGGGTTACATAGTTTTTCGAGTTACAATTGTCATGCACAGAACAACTCATTGCCCCGGGATAGGCAGTAGTTGCAATGGAAAGCAGTATTGGAGCTTCAATACATCATCTTCGAGGTGCGTTGTGACACGATATTCGGGATGATACACTGCTTTGTAGGTTGTTTTGTGATTCTGTGATGTTGGTTGTTACTTCGCACGGTGTTTCATTAATTTACAACAAAAGTCTTGTCAATAGGTTTCGCGAGTAAGTCATGTCAATACACTCTACAACACAAGCACAATGATTCGTAACTTCCCAAGGTGATTTTTCGTCTCAATAGACAGTGATCAGCGGTGGCCGACGGTGGTCGGCTACAGTAGGAGCAGGAGACGTTTGTTTGATCTTAGGTGATAAATTAACAGTGTCACACTTTAACTCCTCCAAACTCCTTTCTTCTTCGGTTCAAGGTCTATCTCTCCTTTCATGAAGGAAAAGACTTCTGCAAATAAGAATTGAAATTGGACCACTCCATAGGATGGACTGGAGAGATTCCACCAATCAAACTGCATTCTGCAGACAATTAATTGAGTAGCTCATTGATGTGATAATTTAGTGAACTAAAGCTTGTTGGATTCTTCTTGTCGGTACATTCGATTTGACTATAAACTTGTTATATTTGTAATATGTTTGGTCTTTTAATTGTGCACCAAAAACTTTCAAAGGTGGCTTAATAGTTTTATATGTGTCTAATTTGACCTGGATTTGATTGATCTCCGTGTCATTGGGTTCATCCCATAGAGCCAGTTGGTTTGACAAAAAAGTTCTATTTGGCGCGGCTGGAACAATTTGAAGTACTTGTGAAGTAGCTGCAGGAGAAACTGCTATTCAAAAAATTGTAGCGACTATTACAAAGAAAAGAAAATTGAAAGTGTCAGACCAGCAAAATAACAATCACTGCACTCAATCAAGTTCGATGACAAAATGTAATTTTCAACGCTAGCATATTGAAAAAGAAGTAAAAACATAATTTTATCAAACAGAAAAAATGTGGTGCGACACGGCGCTACCGTCCCAAACACACCAAAAATATGATGGAATCAAACTTCCGCATAATATGTTTTGTGAGTTTGAATGTTTTTTAACAAAAAATTATTTACAGAATTTATGTTACGCGCCTCTCGATGGCTAAATAAATGATTTAATATTATATATTTGAATATTAAAAATTAAATAAAATATATATATATATAAAAATGATGAGATTTATATTTAAATCATAAAATATTAGCACGTTGATTCTAGTGTACTTTTAATACAACACTAATGCCCAATATTAGATCTCTGCCGTCCATCTCAACGATCAAACTTGAACGGACCGGATTTTAAATCAGAGCAAAGAGCGAAGCTAGACGTTTCCCTTCACGTGAGATTCTCTGCTGAGTGGCAACCGCTTTGTAATGTTTAAGCATAAGCATAACATAATAGATATAATTTTAAAGGTATGGCATACAAGTATAAATTTTATCGATTATTATTTAATGATATTGAAGTTCATAATTGATCATATTTATTAATACATATGTTGCGCGTTAGATGGAATTATTATTTAGCATCTTAATAATATATGAACAACAAACACACACATTGATAAAAAAGAAGAGATTAGTAGGAGGTATTTCAATTTTTTACATGAAAAATACTGAAAAAATAAAAAATTATGGCTATTTGAAATAATTTACTATATAATTGTAAGTATATAAGTTCATTCTTCTTCTGAATTATAAAAAATGAAGTTACAAAGTTGATCATCAAAAATATAAAACCATGGTTCATTAATAATACTTGTGATATGTCTATAGTTCTTGGTGATTGCAGACTACAAGAGCTGCAATCTGTTGCTATGAAGCTAGTAGTTTGCCATGAATGTTATATATGGTAACTTAGCACCAATTTGTCGTAAAAAGTTGTAGTTGAAAATCATGGTAGTAGTTGGTCATATAGGTCGTATATAGTAGTTTCAGGAGCATTGATTGACCACAATGATTGTAGTAGCGAGTTGTGATAGCGTTCGTAAGCCTCAAAGGCAGAAGCTGTGCATGAGCTGTGAACTACGTAAGCTATAGTTGGACACAAAGGTAGTGACAAAGCTATAGTAATGTATGTAGGCTGCAGAGACCGGAGTTGAGAGTTGTATGACTTGTGAGTCATGTAAGTTGTAATTAGTCATATAGGTCATATCAGAGAGTGACAATGACGTGTCAATGTCGTACATGTTAGAGTTCGGAGCTGCATGAGTTGTGAGCCACGTAGTCGTGGTTGGTCGCATTGGGCATGACAAGAAGCTATTGTAACATCTATAGGCCACATAGGTTAGAGTTGGAAGCTATGAAGAGAGAACTTCAAGAGTTTGAGATGTTTGTCATATTATGATTATGACAGTTATAAATGGTTATTTTAAGGAGTTATAATGTACATGGGGTGCATTATTATGTCATCTTTAGGGTGTGTCTTTATATCGACTTCAGGGTGGCGTTGTTATATCATATACGGGGTGTGTTGCAGCACCGTCTTCGAGGTGGCAATGTTACACTGTCTTCGAAGTGCGTTCTTGCACTGTCTTCTGGTAGCATCATTACACCATCTTCGGGGTGTGTTGTTGTGTTGTTTTTGAGGTGGCATCGTTACACCATCTTTAGGGCGCATTATTGCATCGTCTTTGGGTTGTGTTGTTGTAACATCTCTGTGTTGGTGTTGGCACACCATTTTCTTGGTGCATTGTTGCACCGAGTTTTGGGTGGAATCATTACACTGTTTTTAGGGTGCGTCGTCACACCATCATCGGCGTGGCATGAATGCACACACCGTCTTCGTGGCAACATCAATACACAGAAATGCGTTGTTGCACCATCTTCGGTGTGGTATTTTTTACACTGTTTTCAGGTTACATTGTTGCATAGTCTTCGATGTGGCATTGTTGAATCATCTTTACGTGCATTGCTGCATCATCTTCATGGTGGATTCATAACTCCATCTTAGGGTGTTTTGTTACACCGTCTTCATGGTACGTATAAGTCAGCGCAAGAGGTAGTTGATGGTGGTTGATAGAGGCCGAAGACTGCGGAGGATGGGATCACAGCAGCAGGGTCTTCAACATAGATCAATGCTAAAAATAAACTCTTTGTTCTTCTAATCAAGCTCTATCTTCGGAACAATGCACACAATATCATAATTTATTAAGCTTAGGCTCGTTGGATTATCACATCAAGATGATCGATTGACTATAAGCTTGTCAAATTTGATGCCTATTGAACATTTTAATTAGGCACCAAAAGCTTCCATAAGTGGTTTAATTATTTGATATGGGCTTTATTTTATTTGTATTGAGTCAATAATGGTGTCATTGAGTTTTTCTTGTCGAGTCGGTAAGTTTGACTATATGTTTGTTAATGTTGAAATTCAGAATGACTTTGAATTTGAATTTGAATATTTCTTGCTAAAATGCTCCATTATTCGTGTCAAATGCCTCGAGATTCATGTTAAAAGACAAATTTTGTCGATGACATATCGACACACAAGCTCATTCAAATAATAAACTAAATAATAATAATAGCTTATTCAAATTTGTTTAATTCATATTCATTAATCTTGTAATATAATTTCATAAAGTGCTCTTTTTATTTATAAGGAAGTTGAGCTAAAAGGGCGGCATGCATGGTTCGAACCTGCAACTTTACGGTAGGAAACTAAACCTTCAACCAAATAGCAACTATGTCATGAATAAATGCACAAATTACTCGTATTAGACTAACAAATTGTTACGTTAAAGAAGAATATTTATTTGATGAGCCGAGTCAAATAACATCACATTAACAAGAGCAAGATAACTAAAGAAATTTTTAACTTTATACTACTAATATGCATAATGTAATTTGAAAAATATGCATGTAAATTTATTTTGGTTGAAGTTTCTCCATTGAGAGATAATCTATCGTATTTGTGGCTTGTTTGATGAGAATTCTTAATTTAACATTGTTACAACATGATTCAAATTGCATTCAAACCTCACTTATTCTTCATCTATAACTCATTAGGAAGGCATTCACAATAGCGATAGAATAGATTTCACAATGGGAGCTCATAAGAACATGTATTAAACGGACTAATAAGATGTGGTTAAAAAAGGAATTTGCCGATAGAGTTTATTGGAGAAGGCTTGAAGTTGACGTTATATGAAAAGTAAGGCTCGCTTATGACTACAACTTGCTTTTGTTTCAATGAGAGCTCATTGTTGGTGGGCTTCAATAGAGTAATAACATGTGAGGAAAAGAGGCATTTGCGAAGCGAATTAGGAAAAATTATTCCTTGTGGAGCCCGTATGAATGCAGACTTCATGCATGACAGTATCGTATATTATTGTACACATATTGTATAATAGTGTACAACATTCACATACATAATATTCCCTCCAAAAATCAACTTCATACAATACTGAAAGCATTGAAAGGCTGGCACATGCTATGACTTATGTGTTGGCTCAATTTTAGTGGCTCCATGCAGATGCAATTCAAATTAGGTACTATTGAAGGTTGAAATTCTAATTTTAGTTCATTTTATTCATGATGAACTTCAATGAAAAATTTGCTAATGATTTTTCTTTTAAAAATTAAATTTTGAGAGTTTATAAAATAACTAGAGACTATATTTTATAATCATGTGCATTATAAAGCACAATCATGCAAAATCAAAATTTTCTTAATTTTTATAGGTCAACATTCTGGAAGCTGCTAGTCATGCACTGGTGTAAGAGAATGACAGGTTGAGTGCCCACGATTTCTTTATGCAATTAAAGTTGTAGGATTGGAATGCGCCAAACACTTACACTACATCCAATCAGACCATAATTTTGTAATTGCATTGATTGAGACGTGATGCCCCATGACTAATACGTTTTATTTGCTTGTAGGTAAGATAAATTTAATTTCATATTTATATATTAGTATAATAATTTTACTTTTCTTACTCATATATTGTACAAATCTATCAAGTGAGACGATTGTAACTCTATAATACATCCAAGTACTCCTCCGTATAAGGAAAAATGGAAATGTCAAAGTGGGGCATAACGTTGTTGACTTTGAGTTGTGCTGCCAAGTTGGCCGACATGTTGCCATGACCTGTTGGGTGACCATCCTAGGGATGACCTTGTATATTACCATACCATACACCATAACATTACATCAAAATTATATATGGGAAAGTATCATGCACGGGCTATGGTATCATTGTGTTGGCTCCACTGGCAAATTTATAGGGATTCTTATATGGATTTATCATCACATAATTTTTTTTTTCATGTTAGGGCCTACATTTTATTCATGATCAGATTTTTCCTTATTTCGGATACATCCAGATCACACGTACGGATATAATATTTACCATTATTAGAAGATATGGATGAAGCGCACCTATAACATTCCTTTATAGAGACTTGCATCTGACAACCAAGCCTTCTCGTGCCAAAATCGATAGATGTTTGCATTTGCTTCAAATGTGGGCATGGGAGCTTTTCATGTTCCAGTTCCTCAGGAATTAACAGACAAATCTCTTAAATTTAGGTACGAAATTACTTTCTCAATTTACAACTAATCACACTAATTTCTTAACTACATTGAACTCATCAGTATAAATACAATAGAGGTGGAATGAAGAGCGGGTGCGAGACATGTCGTTCCTAAATATCGTGATCTATAAAAATGAACTTAATGTACTCAAGCTATACAAATCTTTTTTTAATTAATCTCATAATCTTGTCTTAATTATATGTATTTACTAAGTTTAGTTTATAATTTCATCGACATGTTATCTGGACTCCATATTTAGATGTAAATATGACATTATTACATAACATTTGTTTTGAGAGCATGACCATTTAGATTGCACGTGTTCTACTAATAAATTGGAAGTGTGTCGAGTGACACTTTCTAAATCACTTTTATGTGTCAGTTTTCAAGCACCCAATCTAACCATTGAACTCATCGAACGACATTTTTGAGAGAGTCGATAAGTAAGGTAAAGTAGAATTTTGATTGAGGGCAATATGGTAGTAAATATATCTAGATATAGAACAATGGTCGGTCATTTTTTGTGTCAATATAACCACAAAAACGAGATGAATAAGAAAAATTATATTATAATTTATAGTGATATCGGTCCTGAGTGTCACTGTACATAGCGAAGTCTCAAACTCAACCTCTCCCAGAAGCCTCAAACACAACCTCCCAGAACATATTGCGTACGATAAATATAAGAGAAAATAGAGCTAAGTTGCTGCATCACTGCAATTCCACAATCAAAACAAAACAAAACCCTCGATTATTATCAGCCCCTCACTCTCCCCTGCTCCGCTCATTAATGCCCTGTACACCTTTCTCATCGCCACCACCTCCTCGAAAACCCAAAATGTCGCCGCCGCCGGCGCAATCTCCGTCAACTCTCCGCCGCCTCCTTCTACCTCTCCTTGTCTCATCAGCTTTCCTACACCTCGCCGGCGCTCACCGTTCCTCTTTCTCTTTCTCTTCCGCTCTTTCCGAGTGGCGTCCCGCACGCGCTTCCTACTACGCCGCTTCTGATCCACGGGACACCGTCGGTCAGTTCTCTATTTCTATCGATTCCTCGTATCGTCTTCTTTCTAAGTGATTTCCCTCTCGATCCGTTACAGGAGGAGCTTGCGGCTATGGCGATCTGGGGAAAAGCGGGTACGGTCTGGCTACAGTTGGGTTGAGCACCGCGCTCTTCGAGAAAGGGTTGGCGTGCGGAGGATGCTACGAGGTCCGATGCGTGGAGGAGCTCCAGTACTGCATCCCAGGAACCTCCATCGCTCTCACGGCAACCAATTTCTGTCCGCCTAATTACGGCCTCCCCTCCGACGCCGGAGGACTCTGCAACCCCCCTAATTCCCACTTCGTCATGCCCATAGCTGCATTCGAGAAGATTGCCATCTGGAAAGCGGGAGTCCTCCCAATCCAATACCGCCGGTCCCTCTCTCCCTCTCTCTCGATCTTCTGGATTTCTTTGGATCTGAAGCGATAAATGGTTTCTGATTTAGAATTTGATGGCAGGATAAAGTGCGGAAGGGAAGGAGGTGTGAGATTCACAATCGAGGGGCGGAGATTCTTTGTGGCGGTTCTGATAAGCAACGTGGCCGGCGCCGGTGATGTCACGGCGGTAAAAGTGAAAGGGACAGCGACCGGTTGGCTGCAGATGGGAAGAAATTGGGGACAGAACTGGCACATCGCCGCCGACCTTCGAGGTCAGCCGCTCTCCTTCGAACTCACCACCAGCGATGGCGTAACACTCACCTCTTACAATGTAGCTCCCCATGACTGGTCTTTCCGCCAGACCTACATCGGCAAGCAATTCCTATTCTGATTCAAAACTATATTCTCTGCATGTGCATTACCATTTAGGATTATCGATATAGTTAATTGTATTATTGTTATGTTGCTTAGAGAATGGAGAAGTTACTGTGTTCTTCGGATTTTTGTCTGGAATCTCTGAAACAGTGACGATTGTTTACTTGTCTGTTAGAAATTCTCTGCACTGTTCGATAGAATGTCTGGTTTCCCTTTTTTTAGGGGGGTTGGAAGGGATGCTTATTTGTAAATTAGGATGGCTGTATGTCTGTAAACCGTTCGATAAAATGCCCAAATGGTTTTGGGGGTTTTGAATTTGGAAGAGGACGCAGGAAACGTGTTGTCTTAACGGGAATGAGATTGAGTATGATAGCTGCCAAAATCCACGTGATTTGGGGGAGCTTTTCAGCTGTTAATCATGGTAAATGAGTACTTAATTGGGGTGGAAATTTTGGGTGAGATCCAATAAATGGACCGTTCGAAATGAGTGGTTTGAAATACAAATGTTAGGTTAAAATAAAAGTTTTAGGGCAATTGACCTGCCTATCATCAAAACTAGTCAAAAGAGAGGCCCGTTTGGAATCATTTTTTATTTTAATTTTCATAAAATAAATGATAAAACTAAAAATACGTTTGTTTATTGTTTCTCAATTTTTATTTTTTTTAAATTAAATGTGTTTATGATTTTCAAGAACACAAAACAGTAACAACGTATTTTTGGTGTTGACAAAGCGGCTCTCACCATATGTCCCCGACCTTCAATTACATCCGTGGATCTGTTTTAAGAACTGTGCAGCAACAAGTTGACAATTATTAAATGATGATTCAGATGATGCATTTGAATCTGAAAGCTCGTTTCGAATTTATGAGTTGTTATATTATAATCTTTTATATTTATTATTTCTTAAATAAGTTATGGATATATTAAGGGTTTGTTTGGGCAGTTACAATTTATTTAAAGGTTGTTGTGCAGCAGCTGTGATAAGAAATTGTTGAGGATAAGCTGACTATCTATTTGTTTTTGATGTTTTAAAATGGATAAATGATCATTTTATCCAAGTATTATAATGATGTTTACTATAGAATTATTTATACTATAACATTACGTACTTAAAAATAAATGTTCAATTAAAACATTATAAGTTAAAAATGGACACCACACTAAACAGTGAGCAACACTACTATCAAAATTAAAAAATGACTACTAAAATAACAGTTAATAATATGATGATATTATTTTTAAGTCGTTGTATGTTACGAGATAAGCCGTCCTTCAGAGAAACTCTCAACACCCGATCACACTCAGTGGTGGAATCCTTCAAGCCATCTGACCATCTAAACAATCCAAAATTTTAATAATATTATGCCAGCCCTTCTTATCAAAATATGTTGGTCTATTTCTCAATTCGACATCCTTAAGACAGTTCACAAAATATTATTTTCATATCTTTATCCCATATAGCAGATGAACTAGCATTCTTTGTCTTAGTCATTGTATTACTAGCACGAAAAAATTAATCAATATAAATATTTGTCTTAAAAAATATTTACCAAATCCCAGAGAAAAATAACAATGTCATAATATCATCACCACTGGCTACATAACAACATGCACACCACCTGCATACTATATCCACTGGCTACATAACAACATGCACACCACCTGCATATTATATCTCCACACACATCCACATCCACAACGGGCAAACCCCACACCAAAAATAGTGCCGAAAACCACAACGCCACTAAAATCATCCACATCCACACACCAATCGATCCACACACCACAACGCCACTAAAACGTGCCGAAAACCACAACGCCACTAAAATACATTCACACAACAACACATCCACAAAGCCACTACCAACACATCCACACCTCCACACACCAACACATCCACACACAAACACATCCACAACACCACTACCACCACCTCCACACAACAACAAATATCCACAACACCACTACCACCACCTCCACACAACAATAAATCCACAAAACCACTAACAACACCTCCGCACACTAACTCATCCACACCACCACTACCACCACCTCCACACACCAACACCTACACGCCATAACAAATCCACAACACTACCAATGCCTCCACACACCAACACATACACACCTTCACTACCACTACATCCATACACCAAAACATGGCTCATATACGTTTAAATTAATGATTTGTATTTCCAATTTATTGAAAATGCAATTATCACCACCATCAACTTTCGGCCAATAAGATAACAGAATAGAGCAAACAAAAACCATGTCAATCAATATGATGTAGCACAAAGAGCCCAAATCATCATGTGCACGTTTAATGACTTGATGAATCCCATTGAACAAGGGTGTCTTTCCAATGTGGCTCAAATTCATCAACTTGAGCTACTTGAGCGTGATTTTAGCTCATTTACAACTCAAGCTTGAGCTCACATCATACTCATGTGAGGGGTTAAGTGTCAGAGCTATTCATCCCATAAAGAAACATTACACCAGCAGTGTACTTTTATTTTGAAGAAATAAGATATGAACTCCTATTTGACATGATATTATACTTCATAGTCAAACAATTTTAACATAATGGTGATTGAAAATATTGATATTTAGTGATGCAAGAAAATAAATAAAAGATTATCGTATCTATCACAAGCCGAGATATTGAGTAAGGAAAGAGTTAAAAAAAATTAAAAAAATACCGTGTAAAAAAAAATTAAATTCCAATATTAGTTTAAAAAAGGTGTAATTATCAAATAATTATTTAGAATATTACACACAAAAAATAATCTTATTGTTTTATACGTCAAAACTGCTAGCACAAAACTCAAAGCAATCAGACGAACAAGGATGTAGATTGGGCAATTGAAGCGATGACCCGAAGAAGCATGGTTTGAACCAGCCATTCGACGACTGACCACTTTATTGGGTCTGGCAAACCCAGGTTGTCGAGGGATTCAATTAATAGACCGCACTTACGGTCCCAACAACTGAAACCTCTTTCAGGGGCGTCCCATCACAACTAGTCAATCGACCAACTTTGTTCGACAGGAGCGATCACCACGCAACCGGTCACCCTAGTTAACTGAACTAAATTACATCGATCCGCTAATGATCGTTATGTTACACTTAAATGAAAACACGAGCTTTGTATTAATTTAGCATAATAACTACATTAAGGGGTTTCCATAATTGTTCACTCATTTTTATAATATTACAAAAAGACTCTATTAACATCAATTATTGATTTCACGAGTGTAGGGTGTCCACAAAGACTCTATTGGCATCAATTTTTTATTGCACGAGTGTAGAGTGTTCACCTGCATGATTCGAGAATGTCCACAGTTTGTATGTAGGGTCTCATAGCTCAAGACACTCACTCGGGACTCGTTAGCACTTATTCGGGGCAAGAAAGCAAGGTTGATGATGATTTTGCCTTACTCGAGACAACCTGTCGCAGGGAAGGCTCATTTAGGATGTGAGGCATATTTTGCGTTTAGAGGTCACCACACGTTTGTCTGGAGCCTCTCATGGAAAAAGTAAGTCTTGGAGTCCTCCTTCGCGTGCTACGAGAAATTTAGGGTTTAGGACGCCCCACCCACGTTGTGGCTTAGGATGATCGTTGACAACAATTTCTCTAGTGGATGCCTGATCAAAATACTTAATTTCGAAGTTACGGGACCACATTTCACTCATACAGAGCCTCCTATAGCTTATGGATCCAAAATTCTTTCGTTGCGCACTCATAGTGAAAATTAGGGTTTCCCGATAGCTTGGAAGTCTGGGGCCACTTGGGTGGCACCTAGGCGCAAGGGACCAGGAACCTAGGTGTTGGTCACTTCCTAAGTGACAAAATATGACCATTTTGGCCCCCGAGGTACCCATAATGGCATGGGTCTTGATAACGAGCCTTGGGACGGTAAATGCCTTGGGACAATTAATGCCTTTTTTAGTCTTCCTTTATAAGCATCCTAGGGCTTCTGTTGAGGGTCTTTCGGTCAATTTTTGGGGTAAGTTGGCTTAAACCAGAGAAAAGCCTCACTTTTCCCTCTCTCTCTCTCTCTCTCTCTCAAGGCCCTCTAAGGGCTGACGACCGGGCTCCTCCTCTCTCTCTCTCTCTCTCTCTCTCTCTCTCGAGGCCCTCTAAGGGCTGACGACCGGGCTCCTTCTCTGTCTCCTTCTCCCTCTTCTTCTTCATCGGTGGGCGACTAAAGATAGTTTTAGGGAGAGCATGGAGAGGCTTTTGGGGAGAGCCGGTGAATATTGTCGTCGAGAGAGACACTACACGTCTGTTTGGAGCCTCCCATGGCCAAAGGAAGTTATGGAGTCTTCCCCTGCGCGCTACTAGAAATTTGTGGTCCCAAGTTGTGACATAGGATGAATGTTGGTAACAATTTCCCTGGTGGATGCCCGATTAAATTACTTAATTCTAGAGTTACGGGACTACATTTCACTCATACAGAGGTTCCTATAGCTCATGGATACAAAATTCTTTTGTTGGGCACTCCTACTGAAAATCAGGGTTTCCCGAGAGCTTGGAAGTCTGGCATCACTGACAGCAACTTTATATATGCTTAAAAATACCAGAATTTAATACTGCTGCTAGAAGATTTAATTCATCGACAATGGCACAAAAAAATTTGACAACAGTTATAGATTCGATAAAGATGTATATATAAAATATTCAATAATTGTAAAGTCACACTTATCAACGCATATATATGTATCGCTCAAGTAATACAGGGCTCTAATGGAGTCCTAGATATCGATCCCACATGGAGTAATATTAGAGGCTGCGAACTAAGATTTTAGAAAATCAATACTTAATCACAACAATATAATTCAAATTGCTTATTTGTCACTAATAGACAATTGAAATAAATATGTAATTTTAATAACTCTCTTTGGTCCAGGCATAAAGAACATTGACTAATCCTATGCTTAGTTACTGAATCTGCGGCTAGGCTGGGAGGATACTGGCTCTCACATTGGAGCTCCCACGTTCCCCTCGCCTGAGGGCTAACATCTACACTTCAGCACCCAAACGTTAGGACCGAATTGAGGATTTCAGTCTGTCACTCTAAAATCTCCAATTCTACGCCCGATAATATTATTTCCCTATTTACGTGCACCCAACTTCCAAGGGCTTTGACCTCCCTGAATCTTAGATGTAATATTCACTTTAGTTGTAAAACTCAACATACTTTAACAAATCAATTGGCCAGATTGAAAGTAAATTAATATCGAAGTGAAA